CAATTTCCAGCACTGATAGTTGCCTGATAATTCCTTTGAGTTTAATTAGAATAAGAACTTCTTAACTGCTCTAGTTATATTCATGGATCATGTTCCCACAAAGTAAACTGTGTGATGAATATAAAGTTTCTCATCCATGTATTTTCAAAGGTGATGTTTTATATATATCTGATTGCTTACAAAGAGCAGGTCATAGACAGAGGCATTTTGTAGAAAAAGGTTTAATAGGAAAGTATATAATTACTTAATGCCAGTTGAAAGATAATTTCAGCATTTTACCACTCAAAAAAAATTGTTATTTGGAGACATATTAGCTGAAGTGAATCTGAGGGGGAGTATCAGTTAGTATAGGCTAGGTCATGCTACAGTAACAAACAACCCCATATCTCAGTGGATTAGCACAGTAGTTTATTTCTTCCTCATGCTACATGCTCATCCTAGGTGGAGATTGCATTCAGGGATCCTTGGTGAAGGAGGCTCCATTTCTATATTTGTTTGGATATTCTATATATGTTTCTATAATTTATATATATATAAAATATATATAATTTATATATAAATATATAAATAATTTATGTATATAAAGTTTATATAATTTCTATAATAATTTTATAAATAATGGCAGGAAAAGGGAACACAAAAAATTCCTCACTGGTTCTTAAAGCTACCACTTAGAAATAACATACAGCACTTCTCCTCACATGCCATTGGCTCAATAAGTTATATGTTCACACATAACTTCAGCACTCGTACAGAAGTACAATGGTATCATGTGCCCAAAAAGAGGAAAACAAGAACATTTGTAAAAAAAAAAAAAAAAAAAAAAACTCTAATATTCCAGCTGTTTTATGAAATTCTGTTGTATCTGGAAATCTGTTCAAGATAAACAAGGATAGCTTTAAGAAAAAAATAATATGTAACATTACTAAGTATAGTCTTATTAAGGCATATTTAAAAATCCAAAGGCTGTATTATGTTCATGAAGCCAAATTGATGAAATATTAGATGACTTTGTGCTGCTTGAGGATAAGATTATTTTTTATGTCCCTTAATGATGGAGACTTGGTTGCCTACCTCAATAACCATTTGATCTTTCCTCCTCACTGACAAAACCCTAATTTTATTTAGATGTGTATGCGGAGGACAGAGGTTTCTCAGTCTTCCTTCCAGCTGGATTTGGTCATCCAATTAAAATTTGGCCAATGGGCTACAAGCAGAAGTGCTGTGTAGTATTTCTGCGAAGCTTTGTTAATCAGGAGAGACAACACTTATCCTTGTATGTCTTCCTTTATGCTTCCTAGAAAGTGTATTTGATTATTGGAGTTCTGGATAGTTAACTGATCCTTCAGAAAGTGAATAGAGACTTTCTTGCTAGAAGATCTGGAGTTGGGAGGTGTTATATAGAAAGCAGGTAAGATCCCAGACAAAAGAGCCACAGTAAATACTTCTAATAAATCTCTTTAGAATTATCAGAAAACAACAACAACAACAACAGTGTTTTGAATGAACTTAGGACAGCTTTATCTCAACTCAACATGTGGATTTTGGCCTCAATGGTCAGTCCACATCAGTTCCCAAATGACAAACCAAGAAATTGTATTATATAAACTGAAAAGCCCTTTTCCTTGAAAAACTTTGTGACTTTTGCCTTATAAGTATTGCCCTTGCCTTTGAACTCAGAGACAATCTGCATGGAAGTAGATAAATCCCTGTGAACTAAAATAAAATCTTAAGGCTCCCACCTCCCAAATGGTTGACTGAATGGACCTCCTCTTGGCCAAGAAGATACCTTAAAATTGAGTTGATATCCATGAGAAGGGAGGTCAGACAAGCCTCACCATGCCCCCCCCCCTTTAGATATGCTTTGTAATTCATTAACAGGCCTAAGGCTATGTAAGACAAACCTATAGGTCCTCAATTTTCACAACTAATTGCTGAGTCTGTGAATGTGTCCCCTGGCTTGTCTCTAATTAACGGATTTCCTTATCTTAACTTAAAACATTCCTAACCTTTAGACAAAGCTTCATTTCTTTAACCAATTACAAATCAAAGAGTCTTTAAACCCACCTATAACCTGTGTAAGCCCCTTACCCATTAGATGTCCCACCTTATGAGGCCAAACCAATGTCTGCTACCTTCCATATATTCATTTATGACTTTATGTGTAACTCTTATTGCCCTGAAATGTATAAAACTAAACTGTAACCTATCTATATCCAGTCCACTTGCTCAAGGCTTCTTGGACTTGGCTCTGAGCCATGGTCCTCAAATTTGGCTCAGAATAAATGTCTTTAAATTATTTTACAGAGTTTGGCTTCATTTCCATTGACATCCATAATCCTTGAAATGAATGGCTCTGAGTTATTCTTTGACAGTTAATCTGCAGAAATCTGACTGCTCTATGTTGGATCATGTTCTCCTGACCCAACACTCAATGTCTCAGCATCTTTATGTATTTTTGGTGGTTGTTGTTGTTTTATTTTTTTGTCACAGGAAAGCTTGAGATAATTAAATAAGTATAGTATTATAAATAATACTATGTGAGAAAGAATCATCAATAATGCTTGAGACCATGATAAATACATTCCTTATACTATATTTCATGCTCAGTTGGTAATTATTTTGAATAACTATTTCCAAGTTTCCTTATGTGCCAAAATTAAATTCTAAATGCCTTTTTTAAAAATTTCAGATTATTATGGGGGTACAAATTTTAAGGTTTCAAATAATGCCCTTATCCCCCTCCCCCTACAAGTCTGAGCTTCAAGAGTGACCATCCCCCAAACTGTGCATGTCTCACTCGTTATGTATGTTTATTTTGCACTCTCCAGAGAACATGATCTTATCTCCCGATCACCTTGTTTTTTCCTTTTTTGAGAGTCCCATGATGAACCTCCGCAGATTCTCGATGCTGTCCTTGTAGGAGGGAGATCCAGTCTCGTGTAGGAGACCAAGATCTATGTATCCTTCTCTGGGAGCAGGAATCCAGGGGTTACCTTTACTCTGCCATTTTTTTCCTCTCCCTAAATGCTTTTATACTTGTTCATTTCATTTTGGTTTTATTTTGAGATACATAACACAAAAAAGATGTTCTTACTGGTAACTTTAGATTATATACCTTCAATAATTCAAGAATTTTAGATCTAGTGAAATCCATTAGAGAATATTATATGAAGGGAAGCATGCTATAATTTGAGATACAGAATTCTTATATTGCATTCCCAATTGTGAAAGTAGATTCAATTTTTCTGTTCATTACAGTGATTTGATTTTGAGTTATTTATGGTCACAGATATGGAAAGCATTGCTTTAAGATCTGACTGTAGTTTAATATATGATACTATACATTTTTCACAATTAATATGAAGAAATTATTTCAAGTACATTTAGGCAAAATCTATGATCACAACGCAGCAACTACATCAAGAGGAAGCAAGGGATTGAAAATCTAGCACAATTGTTTACTGAAGTGTTTTTAGCAATACTAGCATTCCATATCTACAAAGAAATTAACATAAAATACCTACAATTGTCATATTCCTTTGGTATCTATAATGTTGCCTTATAGCTCTACATATTAATTCATGTTTTATTGTTTACTAATGCAAAATGTAAAAGCAAGATTTCAAATGCCCTAGTTAAGCATGAAATTTGCATTCAATAAAACAAATGCAGTGAGAAAAAATGGTTTCTTCTGTAACAACATTTCACAGAATAACGATTGAAGGAATCAAATATCATAGATGCAATCCTTATAATCTCCCAAAAGTATTGTCTTAAACACAATTTCACTTTTGAAAAGTATACTCATTTTAATCTTAGCAAGATCTGCATAAACTTTAATGGTAACTGATGATGTTAACATTGGGAATTCCTGTTATCAAAATTGCTGAATTCTTGTCTCTTGATACGTTTTTGCATCTAAAAGGATGATACTGATGCTGTCACGCATTACACAAAGACAAAAAAAGGTGTAAAATAAACTAACAACTTAGTAGTAATGGTCAACATAGGCTTGCACTTCATTAGTAGAGATCTACCTTATTTTATTCTCTGCCTGACTTACTTTAACCTTGGTAACATTATTTTTAATTATACTTCACTTTACATAGTGATTTTATAGTTTATGACAAATGAGCAATGTAAAGCAAGCAATCTTTTAAAAACCTGACTTCTCTATTCAGAAGTCAAAATTCCTGTCTAAACTAAATAGACCTCATAAAGTGGGTGAAATGCATTTAAATATTATTGATCCTCATTATCCATAAATTCCTTATTTGCAAATTCACCTACTCACTAAAATTTATTTGTTAAGTTCAAAATCAGTACTCATGGTGCTTTCAGTGTTCAAAGACAGACATGCACAGGGTGGTGAAAAGTTCTAGTCACTAAATGTGCTCATTCCCAACTAAACTCAAACAAAGTAAACAGCGGCTCTTCCTTTTTCAGTCCTTATACATGTACAAGGATGAGGTGAGGGTAGAGACAATAGTGGAAAGTGCAGGGTAATGTGAGAAGCTCCAGCTCTGGAACTTGGTGGACACAGTTTGAATCCCTTCTCCTCTGTTAGTGGGGTGGCCTCGAGAGAATCATTTAACACTTCAGAACCTCTTTTGCTTTTTGTAAAATAAAAATATAGAATTTACCAGGATGGGTTGTTTTTAGAATTTACAATTATAATCAACGTGATTATATATATTTCTCCTAGAAACACTGGCTCAGTCCTCACTAATTGGGTATGTGTGGCAACTTTATAGAACATAGCTACTATGAATAATGAAAATCCACTGTGTTTAATCAAGTGCATATTTATTCAATTTTCATGCACATGAACCTAGAAACATATAAACATATATTTGAATAAGAGCATGAATAATGTAAATTAAACATTTTTAATAAATTAAAACTATTGTGTAATTATATAACAAGTTTCCTTGAGTACTAATTTCTCAGAACTTTTTCTCAGATACTTTTGAGTGTAAAAAAATATAGACACTTACTCATGATTCATATATTGTCCAGATTCCATTAACTGTGATGGCAAAGAGACAAATGTTGAGGATTCCACCAAAATGATCCTGAAATAAATGAAGAACTATTTTCAATCTGCTGCAATAAAATTCAGGTGATCACAAAAATTCTTCTCTTATTTCTTCCCTTCAATTATAAAATATAATCAGAATCATAATAAACTACAATTTTAAAAGTCCATGTGCTCTCATTCTGCAACTCAAAACATATATGGTAGAAAGGAGAGATCTGAAATGGAAATATGTGAAACATAGTCTCCTTTTTATATGGAATAGCAGCACTGAATTCTCACAGCACAGAAATTTAGAAGATAAATGCTCAAATTAATTCCAGAAACAAAGAAGAAATCACACATTGGTTTTAATACACAGCCTGAGCTATACACATTTCATCATTTCTAATCCTATTTCAAGAAAAGAAAAATGCTTCTTCCAGGGATGGACATGAGATATGGGTAGCTAATTAATTATTATGTCAATAATTATGCCATCTTCTGGAATCACATAGCAATGCAGACCCTCTTATATGATAATGCTCATCCATTCAAGAAATAGCTATAGAGCAGTGGTCCCCAACCTTTTGGCACCAGGGACTTTTTTCCCACAGACTGGTTGGGTGGGGCAGTGAAGCTCTGTGGCCTGGTCCCTAATATGTCATGGACCAGCACCAGTCCATGGCCCAGGGGTTGGGGACCATAGCTCTATACTATATAAGCAACAAAATCACTGGTAAAAGTTTTCAGAATTAACTTTTTAAGAACTTTGGTAATACAAGAGAGGCTTGCAACCATCTTAGTAGTGTTTATTCAAGAAAAACTGTCAAACTTTGGTGAGATCAGTAGACTTTGTTGCATTGCAACTTGTATGTTGTAAATCCCATCCTCTTGACATCCCTGAAGTAGTTTTGTAAACTGGCAGCTTTGCAACCACAAGAGGAGACAAACCAAGATTGGACTTCTTTTAAAAAATACCATTCCTGAGTAATGTTGTTATTTGACCTGTCTTGAAGCTACCTGAAAAACCTCAACTTGCAAGGTGTTCTCTTTATTTGAACTGTCTTAAAGGATAACACCTACCACCCCAACATGTTTGTTGAAAACAATCAGCAGCAATTTTGTGTGAGGTTGCTATAGCAGCTGGGTCAAACATGAGCCTAAAAAACATAAAAGGAACATTTGGGGAACAAGATGACCATGTGTGGGATTAAACTAACTTGACAGATTTTCAAAATATGTCAGAGATCTTTAATTCTGCATATGGGATACAATGATGTGTCACCAAATAGAGAATATTAATTAAGGAGGTAGAAATGAAACAAAAAACCAATTATAAAGTCTGAACTTGCAAAATACCATACCTGTTATAAAAAATTACAACAAGGCTCAACAGCAGGTTTGAGCTGGCAAAGGAACCAGTGCATTCAAAAATGCCAATTAATATTATTCATTTTGACGAACAGAAAGAAAAAAGAACCTCAGATGCCTGTGGGACACATTTAAGATAACATTTACCATTTAATATAAGCCTAGTGGAAATCTCTAGAAGACAAGAGATGAGAAAGAGGTAAAAAGAATAATTGAAAAATAAAGGATGAACAGGTGGGAAGGGGGAGGAGGGGATGGGTGTATACAAACATAATGAGTGAGATGTGCAATGTTTGGGGGATGGTCACGCTTGAAGCTCTGACTAGGAGGGATGGGCAATATACATAACCTTAATATTTGGCCCCCCATAATATGCTGAAATTAAATAAATAAATAAAAATAAAAATAAAGTATGAAGACTTATAAAATTGTATGGAAAACATTAATTTATACATCTAAGTAACACAAAGAATTCTTTGCAGGATAAACTCAAGGCAATCTGTGCAGCGACAATGATATTCAAACTGTTGAAAGGCCAAGATATAGACAATCTTATAAGTAGCAAGACAAAATTGGCTCAACACCTGCAATGGCTCCTTAAAAAGATTAATAGCTGATTTCCCATCTGAAATACTGGAGCAGAGGAGCTAATGGAATTTTATTTTCAGTGTGCTGAAAGACAAATACTATCAATGAAGAATAATGTACACAGCAAAACTGTCCTTCAAAAATGAAGGAAAAATTAAGGTACCCCAAAATAAACAAAAACTGAAAGAAGCATTGCTAGGAGAACTGCTGTACAAAATATACTAAAGGAAGTCCTTCAGCTGAAAGAAAAGGACTCTAGAAGTTAATTCAAAAGCAAATGAAGTAATAAAAAACACTAACAAAGTTAACTACATAGATAAATATATACAACAAATAGGCTATAAATATATTTTGTTTGTAATACTTTTTAATCTTCTTTCTCATTTAAAAGAAACAGGATAAGACAATAAATATAAAACTGTTTTATGGGATTATAATGCATGAACATGTAATTGGTATAACAATAACACAAGGGCTAGGAAAAGGAGCTATATTGCAGAAAGTTTCTGAATTATATTAAAATTAAGCTGGTATTAATATGAGCTAGGTTTTTAAAATTAGGATGCTAATGGCAATCTTCAGGGTAACTATCAAGAATATAACTGAAAAATGTAAGGTAAAAAAAGGAATTAAAATTGTTTACTAAACATAATTATTTAAAAAAATCAGGCAATAATGGATAAATAGATGAACAAAAACATAAGACATGTAGAAAAGAAATATAAAATTACAGACATAAATTCTACTATATCAGAGACTATATATTACATGTAAATAGATTAAACACTCCAATCCAAAAGCAGAAATTGACAAAATGGATAAAAGAGACAAACATTGGATTCAAAGACACAAACAATTTAGGAGTAAATGATTTAAAAGGGCATACCATGAAAACAGCAACAAAAAGAGAGCTGAAACGGCTATACTAATTTCAGACAAAATAGAATTTCAGGCAAACGTTGTTATAACATGACACCATGAGAGCTCCCTGGACTCACACTCCAAGAAAATTAGTAAAAACTATAGAAAACAACTTTTAAACTGTGTACTTATGGTTTTAAGGCATACAGCAAATTAATAAAAATATACTCAACAAAACCTACTAAAATTTAGTAAGCAAATCAGTAGTTTGGTATTTGAACCAAGAACAGTACCTCCCTCTTCCTTCTCAGCCCAGCAAGAAAGAAACTTTACTTCAGCCTGCTACTGCCAAGAACACAGGGCCCCCTCCTTCCCTGGCTCCCATTTGAAGAGCTAACTTTCTGCAAAGGGTAGGACATCAGTGTTTCTCATCCTAACCTCAGTATGTTGCTGAGGCTAGGTTCTGGGCAAGTGCAGTTGAGAGGAGCTGAGCCCTTCTCCTATACAGCCCCTACTCATGGACAGAGGCTCTAACATGAATATGGCACTGCTGAGAATACTGGCACCTTAATTACCCCTTCCTTAACTTAAAAAGTGATCATTTCATACTGGGAGAAGGAAGTCAAGAAATTCTGAGGCTATTGCCACTTCTCCCACTTGGCTCTCAGCTCATAAAGTGTAGGATTTGCTCAAAGACGTGCACCATCATCTGCACCTCTAGCTCCAGAGCCATGGGTCAGTTATTTTCCTCAGGGAGAGAAGAAGGCCTTAAAACAGATACCTTCTAATCTTTTCCAAAAAGAACTGATTTTGTGTTCACCCAAGTGTTCAAGTCAAAGCATACTGTCGGTGAAAGACAATTGGGAGAAGATTGGTAGATTTAAGATACAAGTTAAACTGTAGACCTGCTAGTTTGTTGGAGAAAACTGAAGAAAGCGACTGCTAAAAGGAATTCTTCTGGAGTCACTACAAATCTCAAACACTGATTTAGAGAACAATTTTTTCAAAGGAGTCTGAATTTGATAAGATTTGTCTGAAGAATGATGTATGCCCCCACCTCAAGGCATTGGAATTGATGGAATTTAACTGATGAGTGTGGTCAGGAAAGGAAAGTCAAAGGGAGCCCTGTCAAAACCACTGTCATCCACGTTGAATGTGGGCATACCATACCCAAAGCTGTGTCATTGGACAAGCAACATCAGAGGCTTCACGCTGTGTGTGTAGGTTTGGGCAGGGAGAGATAGGCATCACCAAAATAATCCAGTCAGTCAGTAAAATGTTAGAAGAGCAAATAATGTTAATAAGACTGGGGGAGAGGGGACCATTATCTAGAATTGTTAAATTCATATTTTTTAAAATGTTCAGTCTACTTCATAAAAAATATGAAACATGCAAAAAAAAAAAAATATTTTTTAAAATGTTCAGTCTACTTCATAAAAAATATGAAACATGCAAAAAAAAAAAAGAAAAAAAAAACAAGAAAAGAAGAAGGAAACAGAAACTGCCTGTTAGGGCAAATCAGATATCAGGTTGAACAGAAAACAAATTCAATATAGCCAGTCTGAATGTCTTCAAACAATAAAGGAAACGATGAGTAAAGAAGTAAAGGAAGATATGATGACAGTGTAACATCAAATAGAGAATATTAACAAAGAGATTGAAATTATAAAAAACCAAATAGAAATTCTGGAGTAGGAGAAACTAACTAGAGGGCTCAACAGTAGATTTGAACTGACAGATAAAAGTAATTAACAAACTTGAATATTGATAGAGATTATTCATTCTGAAGAACAGAGAAAAATGAAGAAAAACGAACAGAATCTAACATATGTGTTGAGAAATATGGTTGAGGGATTAATGAGATGTGGCTCATAAGATCATTATTTTATTGTATTGCCCAATATTGCTATATTAATGACAGAAACAGGAGTTTGCAGGGTTTTGCCCTGAAGGAATATGTGAACTCGTTAGTTTGTACATCAAGGGCTGCCTCCCCTTGGGAGGGCTCTCAAAGCTCTAGTGTGGATATATTTCAGGAGGCTTCTTGCTTTTCTCAGGTCTATGAGCCTCCTGGTTCTAGAAAGACAAGACAGGTAAATATCTGGTTCACAGGATGTGAGTCAGAGACAATAAATGCCCTAAGCAGGAGAGGCACCCCAGTGGTTATAAGCAATTTAGAATACAGAGCTGGGCTTCCTGCCTTCTCCTGTCTGCCTCAAATCTACAATGACAAGCTAAAAAATATATATTTAAAGCTACTGTGTCCCTTTGTTACTCCTGTTAATTCATAGCTGTCTCTTAAAACTAAAAAGTTAGTCCTTAAAAGACTTTATAACTGTTTATTCACCTAGATAGATTAAAATTTGTTAAAAGCCCTTTAAAAAAACTTTTAACCCTAACTGCATTATCTGTTATATAAATCTGTTACCTATAACAACCCACTATCTGACTCTATTACCCTGGCAACTGATAATTAATATCTATAATTATAAAAATCCATATAAATCTAACCTCAATACTACACTACTGACAAAAGATAATATAGACTCCTAATTACCCCTACTTTCTTTCTATAAACCTATAGAACTATACCTTCATCTCTATATATTCTTATTCTCTCTATTTCCTATTAATTTCTTATCCTCTATGGCTACTACTACCTAAGAGACCTGGCTTTCACAAAAAAATAATAACTGATCTCTCCATAGCCTGCCCCACATTACGCCCCATATATCACAATTAAGCATAACAGTATATGAATGGTAGAATTATCTGAAAGAAAGAAGACAGTGAAAGGAAGAGAAAACGTGTTCAAAAAATGAAGTGGGTTAAAGTTGAAGCTAGGTAAGGCTATAGACATTACTTCAGATGATAACATAAAGTCATAGTAACAAATAAATAGAAATAATAAATAGGAAGGCTAATATAACAAAAACTATAAATATATGCTTTCTATTTGCTATAGGCTGAATTTTATCCCCCTCAAACTTTCTGTATTGAAACTCTAATCCCCAGTACCTCTGAATTTGACTGTATTTAGAGATACAGCCTTTAAATAGATGATTAACTTAAAATGAGTCCTTCCAGGTAGGTCCTAATCTAATCTGAATAGTGAGTGTCCTTATAAGAAGAGAAAATTTGGAAACAGAAAGAGACATCAGGATGCACACACACAGGAAAAAAAGGCCATATAAGAAGACAGCCATCTACAAGCCAAGGAGAGAAGTCTCAGAAGAAACCAAACTTGCCAACATCTTGATCTGGGACTTTCAACCTTTAGAACTGTGAGAACATAAATGTTTGTGGTATAATCCACTTGATCTATGGCATTATTTTCCTATGACAGTCCTAGTAAACTAATATACTTTACTTTCTTCTCTCAGCTTTCTTGAAATAATACAAATTGTATAAAACAATAATTATTGTTGGGTTTGCAACATTATAGATACTATATATGATAATAGTACCAGAAATAGGGAAGAAAAGGAATATAGCTATAGAAGAGTAACATTTTGTGAATCTCATTGGAATTAAGTTAGTTTATATTTGAAGCTGATTATGATAAGTGAAGATGTCTATGGTAATCCCTAGTGCAATCACTAAGGAAACAAATCTAAATATACATTGAAAAAGTCATAAAAGAAATTAAGATCCTACATTAGAAAATATGCACTAATATAAAAGAAAGAAGTCATGGCAGAATAGAGAAACAAACAAAGGACATGAAATAGAAATCAAATGGAAATTGGCAAAAGTAAATCCCACTATGCCAAAAATAACTAAATAGTGAATAGATTAAACAACCCAATCAACGGAGACTAATGTGGTATATATATGCAATGGAATATTATTCAGACTTAAAAATAGAGGAAGTCCTACCATTTATAGCAACATGAATTAACCTGGAGGACATTATGCTAAGTGAAATAAGCCAGTCATAGAATGACAAATACTACATGATTCTACTTATATAAAGTGTCTATAATAGTCAAACTGAAAAAAAGAAGTAGTCAAACTCACAGAAGTGAAGAATATCATAATGGTTGCCAGGGGATGAGGGTTTGGGGAAATGGGCAGTTGGTCAATAGGTATAAAGTTTTAGTTATGGTAGATGAATAAATTCTAGACATTTCCTGTGTAGCATAGTACCTACAGTTAATAATACAATATTGTACATTTCAAAATTTGTTAAGCGAATAGATATCATGGTAAGCGTTCTAAGCACAAAAGTAAAACAAACAAAGCATTACAGATCATGAAATAGGGGTGTTTTACAAAACAAAAATTTGACAACCACTAATATAACAGAGTCAGCAACCTGGCCAGCTAATCCTGCCTATTTTAAATAATGCCAACTAGTTTGTCTTATTTGTTAAAAGTAATGTGGAATTTTTAAGAAAAATAATCAAATCTGGTCACCGTGCTGCATACAATTTTGGGTAATATATGTAGAGATTTTTATTTTATTTTGAAGTACGTTTAATATGAGACAGCTAATAATCAAATCTGATCAGTTTTGCCACTGTAACATTAAAAACTAGGCCACTTGATATAGTGGTTGTCACTTAAATATTCTCCATATGAATTGATCAGCATTAAAATTCCTTTATTCATTCTACTTTATTATTTTAAAATTTCAAATGTAATAGATGTCTATCATAAAATATTAATTTTACAAATTTTGTGATTGGTTTTCAATTTTTAAGGTTATTTTCCCATTGCCTAAGTTTGAGGGCCATAATTATACAAAGAATGATGGATTCAAAATACTCCAATTAACAATCTTTCTCCCTACGAAACCACACACCATTCAAAAGAATTAGCCATTTTAATTCAGTCTGAGGTAAACCATAAAGACATGTTAAAATATCACTGTTTTTTGGAGATACATAAATCTATAATATTCTTCTAATTCCTGAAATATCTAGATTTCCCTTCAGCTGTAACACTAAAATGAAAGACTGAATTTGTTTGATTATGTTTTTCTGTAAAGAAATTTGGTTCATTTAAGTCAGTCAGTCATTTGGTTCATTTAAGGGAATACTTTAATCCTGGATTCCTACATTCTGTGTTCCTAACAGTCCAATATAACACGTTAATAAAATTACAGTAAATAAATTTCTCCCTCACATGCATATGGAAACCATAAATTCTCCAATAACTTTCAACACAATAATTTTTGTTTTATCAAAAATGATTGAAATTATTAATATGAAACTACCAAAAGCTTAGAAATACAATGAATAAAATAAATGGAAATTATCAAATACTAAAATAATATAAGCATATGTATAACATCAAGTTTCAATATAAATATTTTGAGTGTCTGATTTCTAAACCTGGAAAAAACAGAGCTCCTACTTTAATCAGTACATAACGTATTGTCTTCTCTCTTCTCCCTTAACATGTATTTTTATGTTGTGTCCTTAAATTATACTTACTTTTATTGTCTTTTCATTTTAAATATATGCTTTTGTTATTGTAACTAAATCTCAAGATAAGCACATGCATATTCAATGTGCAGTGTTAATTAATCATAATGCCCTAAGCAAAAGTGCTTTTTCTGCTTGAATCAATATTTCATTTTTAGGCAATAGCAGATGGAATAAAATTAGAAGAAAATCTATTAACTATAATTTTTTTTAAAAATGGAAAGAACACTGAATCTCAACAAATAGCTTATAGACCAAATATATAAAGTTGGTTGATTTACTTTCTCCATTTTTTCTGATAATGCTTCTAATTTTATAAAAATGTGAACATATGTGATTTCTGCTCAAAATGGTTCATGTTGAAGAGATGAAGAAAATTACATATTTCTTTTAACACTGGAGATAGCTAACTACAATAAATTTACATGAAAACAATAATTTACCTGAAGTCCCCAGCAGTTTGGAAGGGGTTTTTCACATTCACGGTGATTTTCTTCCATTCATAACATGGAGATTTGCATTTTATAATTTCCTAAGGTAAAAAAAATCATATGATAAAAAATAAATATCCTAAAATATAAAATATAAACTTAAAAAGTCTATAACCTATTCACTTAAATATTACACTGATAATTTATATAATTTCCCTTTTCCAACAAACATCATATTGCTAAAATCTAGGTGGGATAGGATAAAAATACATTTTATTGCATCACTGATCAATATACTATGCTAATAACTATTTACCAAAATAGTTTCTCCCAAATTGATTCCTTAAAATTAGTTTTTTAATTACTGAACATGAATTCACATTTGCAAATTATTCAGTCTCATATGTGCCTAATACACATAACATAAGGAAGTGGCAGGTGTGTGTGTCAATGTGTGTGTGCTCATGAATGTCTCTGTTTAAGAGTGTGCGTGACCGTCGCATGCCTGTGTTTGTAATGCTGTGGCTACACTGATATAACTGTATTATAATAAAAGCACAGATATAAAATAAAAACTTCAAATTATCCAAAAGAATTCCATGGAGGAAAAGTTTCTAGGAATTATATTGTTTTAGACTGTTCATGTTCTTGCCTTATTTTATTTCTCCATGATTATCTAATCTACTTCCTGGTAACTTAAGAATATGAGTAGGCAGATAGGAAAGCACCCAGAGTTGTATGAACTTCAGGTGTCAACTTTTCTGCCCTATAACCAAGTTAATGATAGGCTAACCACAGCCATGTCACCTAAAATTCTTTGTAAACCATGTGGAAATCTGGCAATATAATGAATTTACTTCTTCTTTACCATACATTGATGGTAGAAAATAATATTTAGAGAAAATAATGGCTACAAAAAGTCAATTATAACAATGTCACAACCATTCTACAGGGATTTAAAACCCCCCTCTCCCACAATTTGAGATATAAAGACTTAGAATTCTGCCTGGAACATCATCACCTCTCAATGGATGCGAGCATTAGCATTATCTTTATAATGGATTTGATCTACATTACACTCAAGATAAACCGATGAATGTTCCTCTCAGAGGAGAAAAAAGTATTTTTTACTACATAAACCATCAACCTTTAATCCAAGCAAAAACACAGACACACACCTAGGATTGCTTTAAATTAAATCCCAAATCTCTCAGAGGAATGAAGTTAAGAAACAAGAATTGCTTAGAGATAAAATGTAGAATAGCATACATGCAATGTGGCATTCCACAGTCTCAGAAGATGAGCAAAGACATACAAAATAGGTAAAATTTACTTACCATGGCTTTAAAATTGACAACTTCACCCTTAAGAGCAAAAGCCATTGTAGCTCCTCCTGTTGCATTCTTAGGCTTTGAAATTAACAGCAGTGAAGCTTTAGCCGGATGAAGAAAGCGACTGGTGAATTTCAGAGTGATATCAGTTTGGTTTCTATTTAATAAAAGATAAAAGAGGAAACAATTTATCAAAAGAGACAACTAACAAGCATCTTTTCAGTGTGGACCCTCTGCTCAGTGCCTAAACACTGACATGTACTCACTTCTAAAATACAAAGAAAGACTGTTGAGGTTCTCAAGAAGTCTAAAAAATAAACAATTTTCTAACAATGAGTCATGTATATAGTCATGTATGTAGTGTTTTGTGTGAAATTCATAGGACATTCTGGGCTACTATTTAGGCAAATACTTAGTCATTGATATTGGTTTTTGGTTACATGGAGGAAACAATACAAAAAAGTAAGAATTCTAGATCTGCAAAAAATGATGTTGGTACTTTAATAGAGATTACATTGAATCTATAGATCACTTTGGGTAGTATAGACACTTTAACAATGTTGATTCTACTGCCCCGTGAGCATGATATGGTTTTCCACCTATTTATGTCCTCTGCTATTTCCTTCTTCAGTGTTTCATACTACCTCCTTAGTGTTTCACCTACCTCCTTAGCTAAAGAAAAGAACAGAGACATAAACGAACAGAACAGAAAGAAGAACCCAGATATAAAACCATCCTCATGGAGTTATCTAATCTTTGACACAGATGACAAAAACATACACTGGGGGAAAGAATCCTTATTCAATAAATGGTGCTGGGAAAATTGGATAGCCACATGTAGAAGACTGAAAGAGCACCTTTCGCCTCTCACAAAAATCAACTCATGCTGGATAACAGACTTAAAAGTAAGGCATGAAACTATAAGAATTCTAGAAGAAAATGTTGGGAAAACTCTTATAGACATTCACGTAAGGAAAGAATTTATTAAGAAGACCCCAAAAGCGATCACACCACCAACAAAAATAGACAAATGGGAAGTGATCTAATTAAAAAGGTTCTGCACAGCCAAAGAAACTATCACAAGAGCAAACAGACAACCTGCAGAATGGGAGAAAATATTCACGTTACACTTCTGATAAAAGTCTGGTAACTAGCATCTATTTAGAACTCAGGAAAATCAGCAAGAAAAAAATTAAACAACCTTATCAAAAAGTGGGCAAAGGACATGAACAGAAACTTTTCAAAAGAAGACACACTAATGGCCAACAAATATATGAAAAAATGCTCAACATCTCTAATCATCAGGGAAATGCAAATGTAAACCACAATGAGATATCACTTATCTCCAGTGAGAATGGCTTTTATGAAAAAGTCCCAAAATAATAAATGTTGGCGTGGATGTGGAGAGATAGGAACACTCATACACTGCTGGTGGGACTGCAAACTAGTTCAGCCTCTGTGTAAAGCAATATAGAGATACCTTAAAGTGATACAAGTGAATTTACCATTTTTTCCAGCAATCCCATTACTGGGCATCTACCCAAAAGAACAAAAGTCACTCTATGAAAAAGACACCTGCACTCGAATGTTTATAGCAGCACAATTCACAATTGCAAAGTTGTGGACACAACCCAGGTGCCCATCAATACATGAGTGGATTAATAAAATGTGGTATATGTATACCATTGAGTACTATTCAGCTCTAAGAAACAATGGTGATATAGCACCTCTTGTATTTTCCTGGATAGAGCTGGAACCCATACTACTAAGTGAAGTAGCCCAAGAATGGAAAAATAAGCTCCATATGTACTCACCGTCAAATTGGTTTCAATAACCAACACCTAAGTGTACATATAGGAATAACATTCATAAGGCATTGGGCAGATGGGAGGTGAGGAGATGGGATGAGTATATACATACATAATGAGTACCATGTGCATCATCTGGGGGATGGACACACTTGAAACTCTGACTCCGGGGTAGGGGGCAAAGGCAACATACGTAACCTAAACATTTGTACTCCAATAATATGCAGAAATAAAAGCAAAAGAAAATGTATTCATCTTCCTTAATATTCAATTTAATATACTTAAATATTAATACTAATTACATTTAATATTAATATTCAATGTAATATGTTTAGCAGTCTAAACGTATTACAATGGTAAAGACTCTATGGATTTGGAGGAGATTCCACTTACTAGTTTGTAGGGAAATAACCAGACCATGGCACCCTGGCAACCTTGCATGATTCCATAAAGGCCACATATACAGGGTGTAACTGAAGCTGATAAAAGTCTTGACAGAAAGTCCTATGATCATCCCACAACATAAGAGCATGGAGACATGTGAAGAGCTGCTACAAGAACATTCCACACTTGCTTCCCTATCTGCCCTGAGAGGCTATCACCAGACAGTTCTTCATTGCCTCCTCGATTCAGATGAGGTATAAGGCTTGTGACCTCACCCCTTTGAAGGTAGACTTACAGGCCATGAAATGACATAGTCACAGTATGAAATCATCTTCTAAGCAACAAGGTGTCCTACCATTCATAATGCAGTCATCTGACCCCCTTTGTTTTGGTGCCACCCTGCACAAAGGCCATGGAGCTCTGGCACTTTTGCCTACTCTTGCTTTCACTGTTTACATAAGTAAAGAAATCTCTGAATCAAGAATAGGCTGTTTCATTACTAGCTGAAGCTTTTAGCATTGCCTTGCCTTGACACAGCTGTGAGTAATAGATCTTAGGGAAATTTTACCTTTCATTTTTGCTTCAACTTTTAGCATAGTTTGCTTATATATTAGATGATGGTTACTCTTTTGCACAAACTACCACCAATTGTCTTCTCTTTGAACGCACAAAGTTGGGAATGGAGATGGGAATAGATTTACTTGATGTCAAACTTTGGCCTAACTTCCCGAGAATCATAGTGCAATTGTTGTTGAATGGATAAGAGTAAGAAAAAGTAAAGAGTAAGGTGAATTAGGGGCTTTCAAAATAAATATAAATGTTTCCAAAATTGTTTCGTAGGGAAAATGCCAGTTCAAATCTATCGAGAATGGGGATGATTTTTAGTCAGGCATGTATCCTCCCCAATCTCCTCAATTTGTACAAAAGGAGCATTATGAAAAGCTTATGGGTTTCAATTTAATTGAGAACAACAAAAATTTGACCTTGAGGTCTTTATCTGGGTAAATATGCTCAAATTCTCTTAAGATACTTGTGAGTGATTTATCAGTTTTGGGAAATTCTAAAAGTCATCATCGGATACACTCACCCATCAAGTCATTCAGTTGATATTTATGGATTGTAAGTTATTTGAAGCACTATTTTAGGTTTTTGGGACACAGTGATTAGACAAAAAAACACTATTCCTAATCTTCTGGATCTTACATTCTATAGGACTTGGCAGAAATTAATCACATCATTACAAAATAAGTATGAAAATTACAAATTATGCATGTGCCAAGAAGTGATATGATGGCATATAATGGACACTGTGATATAGTCTGAAGGGTTAAAGACAGTGATATATTAGGTGGAATGTGAAGGAAGAGAAAGAGTTAGCTGGATTGAGCAGGGGAGGAAAGAAGATATCCAAGTCCTCTTGTATGGAGAATTATAATGTGTTTGAAGAACTAATGAAAGGCCAGTAGTGCTGAGGCTTACAGAGCAAAGGGTTTATTGATATAAAATGCAGACAAGAGACAGCCATGAAAGGCCACATGGACTCTGTTGAGATATTCACTCTATATACTAATTGTGATGGGAAACTATTGGAATATTTTAAACAGAAAAGTAATTATGTTAAAATTTGCATTAAAATTGTTTTCATTCTAATAGACAGGATAAACTGCAAAGAAGCCTTTTATGAGTCTATTGAGGTAGTCTAGTATATAGAAGACATTACAGTAAATTGAGTTGGAAGAGGTGTGTAAGAGGAAAAGATACCAATTTTACAGTACAGTTGGTAAAATAAGTAGGACCTGGTAGTGGACTGGATCTCCATGAAAGTTGATGGAATACAAAGTGTGCAAGAAAGACCATAATCTATATAACACACATTTAATGAAGGATTTTATGGACCTATACTTAAGTCCTATGAAATACATTTCATAACAGAGTATCCTTTTCATGAGATAAATGGCTGGCTCCAGGAGCAGAGATATCTGGGCTTCTCTCATGTCAAGGTAATACTTTTTAAAATTTTGTAGTCATATTGAAGCATAAAAATGACTAGGATTCTAAATTTGTTAGAAACTTCAGAATCAAATGTGTATTCCACTTCAAGTAAGTCTCCTAGGTCTCCAGGCATTTGTATTATAATTATTTTCATTTTCATTTTCTTACTTTTTATTTTCTTTTTGCCCCAATTGCCTACCCCACATTAAAATATAATTTCCTTAATATCACATATATCTTGTATGCTATTTCAAGTGAGCTTTTGGAATAGATCCAGAATAAATATATAACACATCAATGTCAGTACACACATGGTTGAATGAAAATAAGGAGAAAAAAAAGAAACAGAATGGTTTTCTAAAATTATATATTCACTTTTATGACAGGCACTCAATAGTTACATTTAGTCACGGAGTTAGATGCAGAAACAAATGTTTGCTTATATGGTAGTGTAGCTGTTTAATCTTTTCCTTTTTTTCTTTTTTATTTCAGCATATTACAGGGGTACAAATGTTTAGGTTACATATATTGCCCTTGCCCCACCCGAGTCAGAGCTTCAAGTGTGTCCATCCTCCAAGCGGTGCACACTGCACCCATTAGGTGTGCATACACTCATATCCTCCTCCCCCTTCCCATCTGCCTGACACCGATGAATGTTATTCCTATATGTGCACTTAAGTGTTGATGAGTTAAAACCAATTTGCTGGTGAGTACATGTGGTGCCTGCTTTTCCATTCTTGGGATACTTCACTTAGTAGAATGGGCTCCAGCTCTATCCAGGAAAATACAAGAGGTGCTAGATCACCATTGTTTTTTGTGGCTGAATAGAACTCCATGGTATATATATACTACATTTTATTAATCCACTCATGTGTTGATGGGTACTTGGGTTGTTTCCACAAGTTTGTAATTGTGAATTGTGCTGCTATAAACATTCGAGTGCAGATGTCTTTTTTACAGAATGTCTTTTTTT